TGAGGAAAATGACTTGAAAAATTTACAAGACGTAACACATTTCCTAGCTTTGTCACCATATTTTTTATGGTACCAACATATGTTGTCGTCGTTTTTGTTTCCTTTTGAGTTATCTCGATTCTTACTCCCTCGAGAACTAGAGCGAGGTCTTGTAGATGTGAAGTTGGAGATTAATAATTGTAATGCATCCAGTTTATTTTCAAGAGTGGCGACAGTTCGTTCATGTTGTGCTCGTAGTTCGCCTAGTTCAGCAGTTAACGATGCTATGGTGGGAGTTTGCTTATCGTTCGAAGTTTCTAATATTGCCTGTACGTAAGGTGTAGTACAGGGTGTAACTTCTAAAATTTTATCCGCCATGCTAGCAAGACTTTCTAAATCTGATGGTTGGCTAGAGGCGCAAAGAATTTGCCTAACTACTGTTGGCAAACGTTGTAGCCAAATCTCCTTGAAGAAGGCGTCATCAAATTTATAAGGGCCAGCTAATTGTCTCATGTGTCGTAATAATTGAGACGGTGATTTGTCGCCTAGCTCACATTCGTGTAGTAATTGCTGTAATCTCTTTTCATCAGATAATGAGGTACGTTGAATAATTGCCTGCTTCAATTGATCATATGGATTAGGTGCAGGAATATTATCTATCAAATCTGACACCTCAGATGCAACTTCAGTGGGTAGTAATCCAAGCACAAAAGAGTATTTAGATGCCTGTGAGCGTATGTTGCGACGCTGAAATTGTACTTCTACTTGCGCAAACCAAATGCGAGGATTTAATCGGCTGAATGGGGGCACATTTATCAAATTTAGAGCATGTAGCTCTGCTGAAATGTTATCCTGGCTAATGCCTTCAGTTTCGGATGAGTACATTACGAATATAAGAAAATTAAAATACTACCAAGGGTAAAATAACGCCGTAATGTCTGTAAGTCAACTGAAAAGTAGTTGAGAGAGAAATAAAAAATTTTACGGGCTCACCAAATTTGTGGTGGTCCCCAAACAAAAGGAGCTTACACAAAATATTTTGATATTCTAGGTTAACACTGATATACCAAAACGAATTAATGATTAAGAAACCTAGATGTCTGTCCGTTAGTAAAAACAAAGGTAATAAAATACCGTTAGCAATACAAAAGGTATATTAAACAAACAGACGCTAACAGTTACTATAGAATGAATGTTACTTGTTAACTGCCTCGTGAGGACAACGACCACAAACTAAGTTCACTTGGTTGACAGGTGTTCCTCTGCAAGTGACTGCACCAAAGACGTAATGAGGAAGACGGAGTCCAATAGTATTATACAATAGTAATCCGTGCCAAAAGTCCAACGTTGAGTCGGAAGGCCTATAAGGATGTTATAATACTATTATAGTCTTCAATCAAAACGGTGGCCAATAAAACAGAAGAACAAACGGCGTAGGTATTGTTCTATATTTTAAACAACCCGGTAGTAGAAGTGTATATCATTCATCGAAACAATTATTATCGTCTTTTGAACAAGTGATACAGCAAAACAACAGATATTGGATAAAGATGTGGTTACAAATAAAGTGTGACAAATTAGAGAAAAAATGTGGTTTTTATTTTTGTTGTTACAAAAATCACTGAATATATGTCACCATAAGTGACATTTCAGTCGACCTTAGCGATGCCTTTCGAAGTACGATAGTGAGCAAGCGTTTCGCGTGCTGGGATGACTTTGATAGCGCCTTAAAAGAGTTACTGAGCGTAACCGAACTCATGCAAGGTCACAATCAAAGGAAGAGAGAGGGTCTTTAGTACAGTTAAACAAACACGTACTGTAAAACAACCACTGGTACAATTGGTTATAATAATAATTGCTTCCATTACACCAATCGCTTTCCCTTGATAAAATTAGGCTACTACACATGTGAATAGGAACCATTATTTCATACAAACACCTAGGTAATTCATGTTAATTAACCTGCCCATGAACACTTATAACGATCAAATCTCAATAAATGTACATTTTTTTCTTTACACTGATGCAGTCAGATTATCATCTAAATAGCAGTATCTCGCGTCCATGTTCGTTGGCATCTTGATAGAGATCACTTTATTGACAGCAATCACTTAAAATCCTTCGGGAGATACACATTGTTGGAGTGATTATTATGAAAAATCGGAGTTTTAACGAGCTCAGCATAAATATATGGTTTAAAATACTTGCTTAACCGGGAATACAACAAATTTGAGATTTTTAGTTGCGCTCTTATCTGCAATGACCTCAATCGAAAATGATGATAGCTAAATGTGTCACTAAAAATAGTAATTGCATACAATGCTTGTCGCACTATCCCTAAATTTTTGGCGTAAAGTAAGATATGCTAATTTTTCTATAGTATGTACTGTATGATTTGCACTAAAATAAGGTTAAAAAAACTGAGACAATTAAACGACAGATATGCACTTTAATACTGAATCTATCGCTCTTAACCGTTCGAAAGAAATCACTCACGACCACCCAGCTTAAAATCTCTCTGATAATTTGGTTCGTGGTATTATGGCTCATGAATGCCCAAAACCTTCTATGTTCTTTTTAAGCTAATGAGGTATGCTTTATACTGACGTGCTGAAAATATCTGGTGTCTAAGCAAGTCTGATAACATAACTGCAGCAAATGTAATGTGTGTAAGGTGAAGTCACTTTACTTGAAAACCAAAAAGCGAGAGACAGCACTGAATCCGTTTCATCAGAACCAGTGGTAGTAGTGGTCACATGCAAATTTGAGGACATTGCCAAATCTCGTGATGGTAATTTCTAAAGTTGCTAGTGCGTATAGATAACCTGGAAATAATCGGGTTTGTTTGTACGCTTCATATGGCTATAGCAGCAGTTACAACTCAAAATTACAACACCAGATTTCGTTGGCTGAATTTGGTCTGGTTTTTTTTACTTTGATTTCACTATTGTGAAGGGTATTAATTATGCCGTCTTTAGTTGATATGTTTTCTTTTTAAAGCTTGACAATTTAGAAGTAGCCATCTTCAATTGTCATGTGGCCTTTAAATAATTAATTAATCCGCATCGTTGTAAATAAAAACGTAAACTCGACTGATAAAGTCAGTTACATATCGCATGTAAGATTCCCGTTTTCCAATTATTCATTTGGGAGAAAATGTAACCATTGAGATGAAAATCGCCTAACAACTAAGAGCCACATCTTATAGTTAACTGATTTGGGCACTTAATCTTACATACTACAAGTTGATCCTTGACGCCGCCAAGAATACTGACCCTAATATGGACTACCTTTACCCCAAGATGTCACATTTTTCGACATATTGCCAGGCTGAGAAAGTACTCATAATTGCTGCTTCCTTTCTATACAATTGCTCATTATGATTAACGTTAACTTTGAGTGTTTGGAATTTAAACTCGAGCTGATTTCCTTAGTCAATTTTTTCTCGATTCAAAACAATTTCATCATAGATTTGATCTTTTATGCAACTTCTGAAATTAATTTTGACTGAGTATTGCAAATACTCCTAGTTTTTATGCTTTGTCTTATCTGTGTATCCAACTCTAACTTGATATAAACTGTAATCCGAAATGGTGTTGTATTGCTTTCCATAAACGCATTCTAAAATACACATATAAGACGACACGTTCCCAAGTGTCCACCTGAAAATTAGATACCATCTTTTTTCAATGTTACCGAAATATCGCAGAATCCTACGCCATAGATGAGCTAGCAAAACATCGACGCCAAACCAGTGACATGAAGAGATTTGCTATCATTGCGAGGCCACAGTTATCGCTAAAGCGTGGAGAGGAAATAGACACCTGAATCTACAGTCACCAATCTCTTTATTGTGCAGTAGTAGAATTGTGATATTTTCGTAATCCCATATCGCATCAATTCACATAGAAATAACTAGTCTTTCGCGATTTTAACTATGAATATGAACCAATATTACAAAAATACATTACTGGAGATGGTGGAAATTTGTCGAATAGATGTATGATTTTAGGAGTTCCGTTAATGAGGTAAATAGTTCTGAAGCCTACATAGTCCCTTTAATTACGATTATCAGTAAACAAACTAGTGGTGGAGGTGAGCTGTTTGAATTTTTCCATATATGACTAACAGCTTATCTGAATATTTATTGTTTCCAATAGGACAAAGGTAAACATAGATCCGAATCAAAGTCGATAAATTAAGTAGTCAGTTATGTATGAAGGAATTCAAATAGCTTAATTCTACCTCAAGTTTATGCTGAGGATGTTGTACAGAGAGATAATGAAGACTTCAACATTAAACCACAGCCCAGAAAAAGAAAATTCAAGAAAAAACGCTGCTTGCTACGTCTTTAAACGTCATACAAATATACTTCCGTTCGACTAGAATTCCGTAGACGTGAATATTTTTCTACTAACACATTTCATAAATCAGTTTCTTAAGGTATAAATTGTTAATATTTATTTCACAATTGATTGATTACTGGGTGGTGATCAATGTCATGCCACATTGCAACATGATCGATAGCATTCGATCTGCACTAATAAGGACTAGACAAGCATGACATTGATCACCACCCAGTGATCAATCAATTGTGATTACATCTCAGTCCTACAGGAGGTTAGTCACGGCTCGGATAGCTCAGTGGTAACGTCTCTGATTGTGAAGCTGGGTGACACGAGATCGAATCCGCCAGGGAGCACCAGTTCCCTCAAGAGTACAGGTACACCTTGCTGACGAGTGCCAAGTAGCACGAAACCCGGGTCCAGGGTTTTCTGTTGACTACCTCCAACCACCATCTTAATGTTAATATTTATTTATTTAACGATATAAAAGTATTTACAAATTTGTTGTTCCGTAGAACTTAATAAACACAATTCTTAACTTAGTGAAGAGATTTTGTAACAAAAAAGGAAATAAACAATAATCAAAATAGAACAATAATACACCAACAGTTTAGAAGATATTATATAAAGAAAAACGTGTTTCGAAAAAGTAAACAAGACTTTAAAATGTAAACACTATAAATACTGTTGGCTACCATGGCTGAAACGAATGGAAAGCTTTTTGGAATGTTCAATTATTGCCTTCCGAGCAGCTGTATCAATTCGGGACAGTTTAAGATCTTTTTTACGATCAAAAGGTCGTCTTGTTGATTTACCAGGTGGTGAGGTAGATGGTGATGATGACTTTCCACGTTCTTTTTTGTGCTTCTGAAGAAAAACGTCAAAAGTGAAACATTAGCTACGAAGTGAAATAAATACCCACCTTGGATTTATGCTTATGTTTCTTGGACTTCTTTTCATGTTTCTTCTTTAATTTGTGTTTGAGTTTATTCTCATGCAATTCAAGTAAACTTGACTTTTCTTTTGAAATCTATGGCGCAAGAAGGTGGACAAAGAGAAAAGAAGGAAGAGAGAGATCATATCTAAAACGGTAAAACTGAAATTACTTGATGTTTCGAAGCAATCTTTGCCATCTTCTGATCGTATGCTTCATTTCGTTGATATTTTACAGTGTCCTTTATTGATTGATTTGTCTAAAATAAATGGATGTACAATGAGTACTTACATCAACATCGATGAACGACAAGCGAAAACTAAAAAATGAGCTTGAAATAGGATAGATTTATATACTAATAGATTCCATAAAGGTAGCTAAGGATAACCAATCCATATCTTAAACTAGTGATAAGACAATGACTGGTGATAAAGAATTATCTGACCCCGAAAATAAGTCGAATGATGCATGAATAAACAACTTTTTATAAGACTTAATTAGATTTGTGTAAATTGAACTGAGTACTTGACAGCAATTAATCAATGACCTAGAGAGTGAGCACATGTTTACAATATCATACACTTAGATATTCCTTTTCAAGATATGATTACATGTCACAGAGGACGGGAGAAAAAATCACTGCTATGTGATTCGCGCCACAATCCATTGAGCCATTATTCGTCATATCAATACATGCAAACATTGCGGATTGTCTAGGTAATACCATTTAGTGACAATCATTTTAAGCCAACGAATAGTGCCTAGCAGTAGATGAAATATGCCACGGTTTCCACTGGTAGCCACTACCCAACTCTGCTTAAACTTATTGAATTAAAATAAATTAGCACTTTGTTCGATGAATATTGATCGACTATTGGAGTAGTGTATATGATGTTACCAACAAGAGTAAAGACTACACAATACTCATAGAAAGTTCATTATTCAAGTATAGAAATAACCGGACTAATTGTTATTCAACTGTTTAGTACGAAAGAAACGATTGGAAAACTTTGTTAATAGACCAACTAATGTAATTAATAAAGTGATTGTTTATTTAAACACATAAACATTGTACGAGAAAGCACTAAATATATATGCGCCACACAAATCATTCCATTTGTATGAGGGCTGGAATACTGCTCGGGCGCCCAAACCGAAAGGATAATTGCGTAATAAATTAGTTCACAGATGAATACACACTGAAAAAGATTAATTTGGTTGAATATAAATTACGAAATAGTTATGAATAAAATAAACTCACTTGACTACTAGTTAACAATTGTTTTGAGTCATCACTTGGTGTAGTAAACCATGATGCATCATGAAGAGGTGTTGATATATCTTGACGAAATTTACATGATTTCAATGAATTAAGAACACTTGATCTGGGTAATAACTCTGTCATCCATGTATCACGTTTAAGTTTTTCACTTTTCACCGTTACACGGCTTAAACCCCCTGAATACTGAGCAGTATAAATCAAGAGACGGAATGAAGGAGAAAGCTAACAAAACTATGAGATAAAACAAAGTCGTTAAAAAGCAAGCTGATAGCACCGTTTGCAACTGTTAACCTTATCGATCGATGCCAATAGCACCAAATTAAGTATTGTAACATTTATAGTATTCCGAATGTTGAATGTATAATCCATAAAATTATTAATGAAAAATGAGCGACGTGCTTCCTCTTAAAGGTTAGAAAGCCTGAATGTCACTCGTCGAGTTCGCCGTTTTAAACTTTGTTACAACCAATTTTAGTTTGGTTAATCATAAAATATCACTAACCTCTACACAAAAATGTACATTAAATGTAAATCCATACATTTGTATCATGTAAATGAGTTCTATAAGCCTCTTTATAATTTTGATGACATAAATTGCAATGTAAAGTTATTAATTGAGACATATCTAACAATAAGGATTTGATATAAAAAAATCTAATACGTTTCACTAGCAGAAGATGAAATGTAATGTTGTGATATGATCTAATGATAATAAATACTCATTAATTATTGACTCAAACTTCCAAACGAACCTATTTCAAAGACAATATGACCACTAGTCAGGAGAATAAGATTTTTATTTGATAAAGTAGTAACGATAAGATATCATGAAAAATTTAAAGATATCAGATTTGTCAGCGACGTCATTCGCTAATAAATTATTACTTGGTTGTTAAGTTAACTCACCGAATCATATCAACCACTTTAAAAAACAAAAACGTCGGTAATTGATGGATGACTTTAGAGTCTTTAAAATGACCTTGAGAGTGTCAACCTAATAACTAGGACTAAATGAGGGTTATAAACCAGTGTGAGGAGCTAGAGTTATGATTTGTTTTATTTATTTATTTGAACACATAAACAGTGGCACAAGAGGGCACCAAATACATATACTCCACACAATAACAACGAAACCAGTAGCGGTTATCATTGATTTGTGTGAGGGCTATGATACTACCCGGGTGCCCAAACCGAAGCAGGTGACCTTCTTAGGGGGCCACACCCGGAGCCTTCGAGCTGAAGGTCTAATCCACATGGCAATGGAGCAACTTTAGGAGATGCAGTCCCATGGTAGCCGATGACCAACAATTGGTCCATACGCTTTTTCTTCCTTCAGGATACTGGAGCCCATGTGCACCATTGGTTTGAAATGAGGGTTTTCCAACTCCCCTAGGTAGACTCATCGTGTCAACCCGCCCGGTTAAATTGCCAGATATTCGCTTTTAGTCCTCCAAATTTCATAAACAACAACCCTGCTGCGAGAAAGTAGTGAGTAGGAATTCTGTGGCAGCGGCTGTATACGCGTGGTCATTTGAGAGGAAAAGTGGACCCTCTTCACTCTCGACCGTACCAGGGAACTTGGGGGCGTTGCGCGTCGTGGTAATAGGTGTTCGGACATACGTAACACGTGGCCCAACCATCTCAGTCGATGAAGATTCATAACCTCATCAACTGATTTACCATCATTCCCTAATACCCTGCGTCTAACCTCACTATTACTTACCCGGTGATCCCAGCAGACGCCAGCAATATTTCTAAGGCATCTGTGGTCAAATATTAGTAGCTTACGGGTGTCTTCTACTTTTAAAGGCCATGTTTCGTTGCCATAAAGTAAAACAGAACGAACTGCCGCGCAGTATACTCGTCCTTTTATTGATAGACGGATATCTCGCCTTCGTCATAGGTGACATAAGTTGGCAAAAGCGAAACGAGCTCTTCGAATCCGTGCTGAGATTTCGTCAGACACCAACCCATTAGGGCTGATCAGACTTCCAAGATAAGTGAAGTTGTCAACGCGTTTGACTACTTCACTCCCTATCCTTAGTTCAGGTGTTGACGCAGACCAGTCCTGAAGCAACAACTTGCATTTAGAGGGAGAGAAGCGCATTCCAAACATTATGGCATTGTTGCTTAGTGCTACCAGAAGACTCTGCATTTTGTCAGCGTCTTCACCAAACAGGACTATATCATCTGCGTATTCTAAGTCGATAAGTGGACCTCCTGGTAGGAGATCAATACCCGAGAATTCAGTCGACGAGAATGTCATTTCCATCAATATGTCTATGATGAAGTTAAAAAAATGGAGAAATTTGAGTCTTCACGGACACCACTTGAGCTTGCAAAAGCAGATGACAGTTCGCCATAAGCTCTGACTCGACTGGTAGTGTTCGAGTAAAGAGCCTTTACAAGGTTTATGTACTTCTGAGGTACCCCTTTCAATGACAGGGTATCACAGAAACTCTCAGTCTACAGAGTCAAATGCTGTTTTTAATTCAAGAAAAACCATCGTTGTCGGACGTCGATAAGCATGCTTGTGTTCTAAAACCTGACGAATGGTGAATATGTGGTCGATGCAGCCACAACCAGGTCTGAAGCCTACCTGATTTTTTCGTGTTTGCAGTACACGAGTCTTTGTTAGGTGCCCAATAATTATTGAGCCTGGTATTTTAGATGCTATTTTAGTCAAACCAATCCCTCTATGGTTATCACACGGGGATTTTGACCCCTCCTTATATATTGGGACAATCAGTGATTGCGTCCAGTCAGATGGGATTACGTCTAACTCCCAGATTTTAACTCAAATATTAGTTAACCTAATCGCTAAAACTGGACCACTATAATTAAATACCACTGGAACCAATCCATCTGCTCTTTCTCGACTTCGGATTGGAATCGGGGGATCTACTTCAATGTTCCATTCAGGCTGTTTGGGAATGGTGTGTATTTGTAGAGTAGTTGAAGGCCAGCTGAACTGCTCCTTAAAATGTTCCGCCCATCGTTCTAAACGTCTGGACTGAGAGCAGATAAGAGTGTCGTCTTTTTCCGAGATCGCCTCACTTAAACTTGATTAATTAATTCCAGTTTCTTTTATTAGTCTGGATCAATGTTTGGCGTTACCTACAGCGGCTGCCTTTTCCATCTCTTGCTTTCGCTGCCCACCACTGCTCACGGTCATTCCTTAGACTTTTGGTTAACCTATATCTGATTTGTTTTCGTTCTTTATCGAGTCCAGAGCTTGATGGAGTGTTTACGAGAATCCATCAGTGCAATAGACTTAGTAGAAATCCATTGGCTTTTCGTGACCGTTTGGTTCAAATCACTAATAGATGTCACTGCTGTTTCAACAGCTGTTCGTATATCTTTCCAAGCAATATATGGGTCAGCCACGTTTTCAGAACTATCGAAGTGCGACCTCAGTTGTTCATGGAATCTACTTTTGGCACTTCGTCACTGAGTCCAACCCTAATGTGGTTTTTCTGCATCGAGTGAGGAGCAAGCAAATGCGGGCTCGTATTAGATCATGATCGGTGTCCAAACAGGTATTTGAGAACAAGCGAGTCTTCTATCGAGCCTCCGACGATGACTGATGGTAATATGGTTTATTTGAGTTTATCGTTGGTTTGGTGTAGGGGATCGCCATGTTAGACGATGTCTCTCCTTATGCTTAAAATTTGTGTTTGCTAAGAATAAACGATTGTCTGAGCATAGTTGCAGCAGACGATCACCAATATCTGTTCGTTGTGCCGGTATACTAAAATACTCACCTAAATGCCTTTCTGTTTGGTTTAAACTACCTATCTGGGTATTAAAGTCACCTGCTACAAGTACTATGTCTGAACGTTTAGCTTTCTGAAGAAGCTCAGATAGCTTTCTGTAAAATTCATCTTTCATTTCATCTGGGCTGCAGTCGGTGGGAGCGTAGGCAGAAACGACGAAAAGACAACGACGTATCCACAATTGATTGATTACTGGGTGGTGATCAATGTCATGCTTGTCTAGTCCTTATTAGTGCAGATCAAATGCTATCGATCATGTTGCAATGTGGCCACCAGTCTAGGTGACTCGGCACTGCGGGCACTATGTATTGAGATTTAGATGGTAGTTGGAGGTAGTCAACAGAAAACCCTGGACCCGGGTTTCGTGCTACTTGGCACTCGTCAGCAAGGTGTACCTGTACTCTTGAGGGAACTGGTGCTCCCTGGCGGATTCGATCTCGTGTCACCCAGCTTCACAATCAGAGACGTTACCACTGAGCTATCCGAGCCGTGACTAACCTCCTGTAGGACTGAGATGTAATCACAATTGATTGATCACTGGGTGGTGATCAATGTCATGCTTGTCTAGTCCTTATTAGTGCAGATCGAATGCTATCGATCATGTGACACGAGATCGAATCCGCCAGGGAGCACCAGTTCTCTCAAGATTACAGGTACATCTTGCTGACGAGTGCCAAGTAGCACGAAACCCGGGTCCAGGGTTTCCTGTTGACTACCTCCAACTACCATCTAAACAACGACGTATCCCTATCCTTCCGAGTTCTTATGGAGCCGTTCAGCTGAACAACACTCAGATGACTGTTAACGAGGATCCATTCTAATGGTGCTTGTTCTGCCTTCGTACTCAGTGCTACGTCTACACCCACCAGTCCACAAGAACTAGCCATCGGGTCGCCAGATATACGGAGGGTGTTTCTCGTCGGCTCCCCATTTTGGCAAGGTGAGGTCAAGTGAGTGACCACACTAGCACCCTGTATGTGTGTTTCGGAGACATAGCATACATCAATAGTATGAGATTCTAGGGTTTCAGCCAAAGAGGGTGCATACGTTGAAGGATTCAATGTGTAGTTTGGAGCGAGGTTTCAGTAGACCTGGGGCAGCGTTTCGCGCACTAGAGTCGTTGGCCATGGTGACACTTGCGAAGGAAGTTTCGAGTTGAAAGTTGAGGTAGGAGGAATAATAGAAAGTGAGGAGGGACACTGAGTATGAATACAATGATCTTGAGTGCTGCTAGAGGTATGAGGGCAGTTATCACTTCCTGGTTGCCCACACCATGGAAGGGTTTTTCTGAAGGTACCTGAAAAGGAAATCGGATTAGAAGTGGTCTTAGTGACCTGGGAGCGTGACCGCAGTGCCCAAGGTACAACTGCTTGAGGTTGGTCTCACACGACCTTTTTATGGGCAATTTTTGTGTTAGCTCCGTACTTGTTGAGACCTTACCGCCAGAGACGGATATCCGTGGGATAAGGCGAGGTGTGCATTTTTAGGGTCGACCTTTTCTAACCCCACCCCTCCTTGTGGGAAGGCAGCATCGCTGTTATGCTGGTTTTCTGAAGGAATCACCATACTGCCGTCGCACCTCTATACAGTAAGAAGTACGATTTCGCCCTCGTACATTGGGTTTACTGCTTTTAGTCTTACCGCTCTTCAACCGACTTGTCTGACATGGTAGGACCTTGAGGAACGATTGTCTCAGCCAGTATAGCCCGATTGGTTCATCACGATAAGTAAGCTCGATCGCCATACCAAGGTAGCAACAACGATCGGGATTTCGTGGAGTAGGGGCTGCGAACTAACAATCAGAGGTTACTTCAACAATCAAAAACTTCGTGCATTGATCCCAAATTTTGGTTATCCCTAGTAATGGTAAAAATAGTTAAGTTTTTGCCGTAAATATCATTACAAAATACTTTTTGAAAGAGCTAAGTTATGAGGTTAATAGATTATTTAGAACTGTTGGTTTCATAATTTTTCCAGATGAAAAGAAGACGATCGAATTTTATCTGTACTAATAACAGGATATCGATCAAAAACAACATGCAGAAGACAATGTCACTTTGTCAACCAAACAGCAGACAATTTTATGGATCTTCAAAGTAGATGTTTATTAGTCCCACAAGAATGACTAGTTTCAAAACACCGGTATTTAGTGTTTACATAATCATGTATACTGAGAGAAAGCGGAGAGTCTCCAAATAGAATTACGAAATTTAAACTGTTACATATTTATCTCTTATAAACCCAATATTCATGAGATTAATAGGTTAACTAAGATGTTTACAACGAATTTCTTGGATGATATTCAACTAATAAATGATATTCTGTGCAATTCGCCAAAGAAAAGTGATATGTAAAATATTTACAAGCAAACTTGAGAAAAAAGAATTTCAACTGAAAGTGATACCTGAAACATAAAAAAAGCAACATACACCAGATTTCAGATGCCGCCACTCTTCTCTTATTTCTTGTCCCGGTAGTAAAGGACCAATAGTATCGATCTCTTCAAAGTTAGTGGGAGATTTATAATTGACTGATTCCGACTCTTTATTTAATTTCTGTTTGAATAAATCAGAGGGTAATGCAGGGCCTATCCCAGTGGATGGAACAAGATCATCAGGCTGAAAAACTGGTCCAAACACTCGATCGTCATTTTTGGAATCCGTTTTTCTAGACATGCCAACTTTATTGTACCTAAGTAGTATATTGAAAATTATTATTATAACCAGTACTTCACTTACCTATGACGAATCATATTACATAATGAGTTATTATTAGTAGGAGCTAATCATATTGTTGTAAGTGGAAAAAACCTACTGTATAGTGATTATTAATGACGCATGAACGCTAACAAGTGCTGTAATCTCACTGTTTCAACATTTTGTAAGAACAACCATATTTCGTGTTTGCACATCAGATTGACTTTGGATAGACCATGACTATAAACCATTAACCATTGGACATGTTTTATACTGATATAGGGCTTATCGGAAGTGGTTATCAACAACTGGACCAGGAGTAGAACCCATGACCTACTGAGCTCATGACGAGCACTTATCTCTCAGATAATTGAATTACCATCCAACGGTTAATACGTCTAGCTTCAGTTAGTTATTAATATTCATCCAAGGGATTTTTAGATTTCAGTGGTTGTTTAATCAAGATCAGTCTAGGATGCAGAATTACAAAACCCGGTCATCGCCACAAAACTCATTTAAGAATGCGTAAAAATAAATCAGATGCAAACATATCGTGTTTATTTCTTCTTATTCATCTTGAAAGTTTTTAAATCGAGTTTTCTTCTTGATGAATAGTCAAATGTGATGCACATTACAAGCATAAAGCACTTCCATTGGATAACAATTCCCATTTCACATAAAAATACGGATTGTTATTTAGATTAGTTTAAATCGGGAAATAAGATTTCCAGATATACAAATGTATGATCTAGAAATGCACATAAATATTATTACCGAATCGTCAATCAAGCACAGATTTATAAACTTGGCATCGGCTCACACTGTACAGTATGAGAGCTAATGATACTAATTGCTTACTCAATCGACAGTACGTAGAGCTATATAGGCGTTCATCAGTTGTTTTAAACACACACACACATACACACAGATTATGATAAGAAATAATCTACTATCGAGATTATTATTATTGATTTTTCAAAACGAAACAGCTTATGTAATGTTACTTATAGAATAGAAAAAGGTACGGAAATCAATACAATACGTCAAAACAGTGTAACTATCATGAAGATAAACAAAGGAATAAAGAAAATACATTTTTAAAGACATTGGGAGTTAAGAAAATGTATTAGTTTCGAATTATGTCCATATAGTCCTAGGAAAAAAGATTTAAACGAAATATGGTATTAACTTTTGATACGTGACAACAAAAAGTATGAGTAGAACACCGGAAATATAAATTTGTAATAAACGCAACTCAGTTGGGAGATAACATTTATTTACTGAATAATTTGTGGACGTTATTGAAAGCTGTAAAACAAGAAAGATATGAGGAAATAGTAAATATTGCAAAAGAATATAATCAGCATTGTTTATTATCACAGAATCCAACTTTATAAATTATATTAGTGTAATTTCTAAAAAAATACTAAATACTCTCTCAATTAGCTGTAAGGTGGTGGAGGTAGTTGACGAAATCACTGAAACCTAGGTTTCACGCTATTTAGCACTCATCAGCAAGGTGTACCTGTAAGTTTAACGGACTGATACTCACTGAAAAATTTAACTCTGTATCACCTATCCAAGGTTTCCCGTTAACTATTTTCAACCACTATTTTACAGCTCGACACTGCACGAAATGCTAAATCACTTAGACTAGTAGCCACATTGCAACTTGACTGATAGAATTCGATCAGAACTGAGGAGTTGACAAACAATATTGGTCTCTATCCAGTGATCAATCGATCGTTTATCAATTATTAAGCAACACATTCACATCGATTTAACCTATTTTTTGATCTAAAAAGGAGGTAGTATAATTACACCGATAATGCAAGGACGTAACGCAGTAAAAGTATAGGTAGCTCACGCATGCGCGTATTGATTTAATGAGTTATGTGCTGCACCTATATTCGTTCTGGCTATATTTAAATTCATAAAGCGAACTAATGGTATGTGCGTTATTTTGTCACAGTTAGGTCTAGACGATGGCTAGTCAGCTAGAAAAACTTACATTCGAGCCTGGTAAATATTCGCATAGATTCAATTCGCTCCAAAATATTACCATAATGGGATGCCAGAGTAGTGATAATGTCAGTGGTAGTAGAAAAGGTTAGGCACAGAAGACACGATTCGGAAAGAAAATATGGATTCATGGAATAAAACAGGACATTTTATGATAGTTAAGAAACATATGATTGGTATGATGGGATGAGTAGTAGGGTGAGTATAACTCGTGTAAATATCATATGGAGAGTTTTTATTTTTGTTGAATATTTAGTATACCTTTGTACTTATTTTATGTTCTCCTACTGTCAATCTTTTGTTTGACCCATAAATCGTTGTTTATTTTTTTTATTTTATCGCAACACATAAATATTGGTATAAGAGGGCACCAAATATATATGCGCCACACCATATTTGTGTATGTGCGGGCTGTGATACTGCCTGGGTGCCTAAACCGAAGCAGGTGGTTTTCTTACGGGGCCACTCCCAGAGCCTTCGACCTAAAGGTCTGATCTACAAGACAATGGAACATCGTGAGGAGATGCAGTCCCATGGTAGCCGGTGACCGAAAATTGGTTCATACGCCATTTGTTCCCTCAGGATACTAGAGCCCATGTGCACCATAGATTTGGAATCCGGTTAAAGCGCCGGACATTCGCTTTTCGTCCTCTCATTTTCGTAAACAACACCCCCGCCACGAGAAGGCAGTGAGTAGGACTTCCCTGGCAGAGGCTGTATACGCGTGGCCGTGTGAGAGCATTTCGAGAGGGAGGGCCCTCCCCACTCTCGGCCACACCAGGGTATTTATTATTGTTATTTATTATTCCAGATTTATCATTAATTAGTCAATTCTCTATTAATCCAGTTTCGGATCACTTATAACTACTTTATGTACACATTGTATCAACTTAATTGTGTTGCTGTGTTTAAAAATTTCAGTTATATTATCGTATGAGTTTTGAGTCATAACTGAATCGAGTGATATGAGGAACTAATATGCTTTCGATCTTCGCCTTTTGAATGGTCACTTTCTTAGGAGCTCGAGGATGAATAAACATAAAGGATCCATGCGTCAAGTGGTAAGTAGGTTAGCGATCCTACGAGAGTTAAGAATGAATAAATAGGTAATGGAACTAGAGATCATACAACTACCTTCTCGATATTACGGCCCAATCACACTGACTAGACTGCATTCTAATCAGACTCAAATTCGATATACTGAATGGTCAGTTTTTTAACCAATCAGTGCTAGTGGACGAAATGAGATGATAGAAGACTTTTATATAAATTTTATATAAGCTCTAGTGTTTTTACTGATATCTTTCTTGTCCGGACTAATGGACCTTATTTTATTTGCTTTTAATTCTTGTTCCGATTTGAGAAACGTCTAACAAATTCAAGTGGTCAGGGAATACTGAACAGTCGAAAAAATCAGTTTATTAGACATTCTTGAAATGACCAAACAAAATTTATTTCCTATTAACTAAAGATTTTGAAAACGAATTTGGCTTATATGAAACAAACTATTGACAATGCAACTCCGTAATCAAGTTTATGTTAGTATGTTGTACTATGCGCCTAAACAAATACAAAATGAATTTGATGGGGCTCGAATAAGTAGTCATATATTGAGATGACTTGTGGTTTACCCACTAAGCCGCCTCGCTATAGTGTTTTGAGAAACTATAGGATATGAAATACGGTAACGACAGTCACTCTTGTAAAATACCAATTACAGAAATCTGAATTAATCTCCTTGATTATTTATTTGAGACTCTTTTAATTTTAGTGAACCTAGAACAAAAGCAAATTGTATCGGTTGTGTGATAAAGTGAGGTCAGTTACGCGTCGTTTATTAGTTGAATCAACTAAAAGACTAAAATTTGTAACGCTGTCACATATTAATCGAGGTAGAAATTGTATCACTGGGCGCCTACCCAGTTTTTTTTAATGGGCGATTATTTGCTGAGATTTGAAGGTCCCGAGTTTGATAGATGACGAGGCCTTGAATGAACGTTGATGTATAGCGCATAATGGGATGAAACAATTGCCAGGTGTCCCCCAGCTTTTGGTGATACAACATAGAGATTAGACCAATCTGCACAAAACCCCTCCAACAAAGATTGAACTAGTTGATTTTTCTTACTAAATATTTCTTCATTTAATTTGTAATGGTTCGAATTACCTCTACCATATTTTGACTAAAATTTGATCAGAGTTGGGATATGTGCATCCCGAGAAAATCGCCTAAAAATAGCCATTGTGACAAGCTTACATAAAATAGATGGAATGTTGCTAGCAGTGAAATTTTAGAGGTTCATTTCGTCCTATTTGAGACCCGTCAGCTGGATGTACCTGCATACTATGTCCTCTTTGGTACTAAAACTCAGTAACACTCCGAACGATAACACGTCATCAACTTAGGCTCTGAGTTCAAACAGTTACTCACTTGCGCAACAGATTTGAGTTTTAATTCAATCTATAGTGGTTTGAATTATCCCGTTGTTGATATTTTGACTGAAATTTGATCAGTCTTGGTACATCATCTCTGAGATCCAGGTACATCCAGCTGATGAGTATCAAATACGATGAAACACGCGATCTGGATTTCACTGCTAGCCACATTTTACCCATTCTAAGTATAAATATTTCCTGATTTTATTTCACGATCACTCATCCTATTATTTCCACTTTATCGATTCTCATTTTGTTCAATTTCTTTCGTCATTGATGCTTTGAATAAAGCATGGTATAGATTAAATTAGTGTCTATGCATATCATTGTAACTTAATCAATATTGTTCATGAATTAATTAAAGTCAGTTGAAGTAGGAATAACTCCGGTAAATTGCATATATTACGGATAATAATCCAATTAATATACCATTAGAAATCCAGGATTTGCGAGATTTCTCCAAGAGAAGCTAGCAACTGACCATTCCACAGCAGAATCCGATTGGTTACCGAATCGATGTGACATTTTACATGAGTAATGTGTATGACCAGATAGTATTAGTCGTGGACGAAGAGATTCCAGTAACTAATTTTATAAAAAAAAGAATGATATAATTATAATTCCAACAGCAGGGATGAAGTTTTGATATTGCTCAGATTATAGTCATAAATAATGTTGACATTTTGGAACGAGAATTCAACATTTTGCGTTCAAAACTATAAATTACCGCCACAGTGACAGATATCAAACTAGCAATAACTGATAGTCGATGTTTGTACATGAAAGCCGAACTTCTATGAATTAAAATTCCGACTTAAAATTGGTACTGACTACTTTGACAACAAATAATTATCCTTTAGAAGTGGTTTACGTGTAATATACCAAAAAAGTTCGTTTAACACTAAAATGGTGTGATGTCATAGCCCTCACACAAATCAATAATAACCGCTACTGGTTTCGTTGTTATTGTGTGGAGTATATGTATTTGGTGCCCTCTTGTACCACTGTTTATGTGTTCAAATAAATAAATCATCACATACCCCCAACTATCAACAACCTAGATAGGCAATTTTAATGTAGATGTAGGCTGGAAGAAATTAGGGGGTGGTCAATCCAAGACTCAACAACAGTTCATGTAAACATTGACAACTGGACTAAGCCATGTAGGTATGTGGAGCCTAATTGGTTGGGGTCCGTGAGATTATCGAAACCCTAATATAACTCAGGATCGTACTTAATGGTGTAGGAGCATTCGCTTTTAGTGTCTCACGAGAACGTGAGCCTTGAAATCTCCTTATACATTTTTTCTATACTTAGTCCTCGATATTATTGCTATTAACACAGTTTCTACTCCTACACAGGGATCTATCTTAATAATTTTAACTTGTTCTGGTAATCTGGTGTGGCAACTTGAACTGATGCCCATATGTGCCAGGTCCCATATTGGATGACAAGGAATGATATTAGTTGGAAAACGGTTGAGAAACTAGGACAAAGACCAAGGCGATCACGAACGGCCTGGTTGTAGGTAGAGGTTCACCAATGCCCATCAACTTGAAGCCTTGGAAGATTCCTAATCAGGCTCGGTCAGATGTGTAGTACTTTTTAGTGAGCTAATCCTCAAACTAACTCTTGAAACAGAGCGGTTAAGGCCTTCAATTTACAGTCATTAGACTGCAGGTATGAACACCGCTCGACTTGGATCGTTAGCCCTTGTGCTTAGAGTGTGGTTTAAAGTCAAGTACAGAAATCTTTGACTGGTAAATGATTTATCAGTCAGATTAGGATGAAATTCAGGATATAAATTACACTGAAAGTGTTTTGTATTGACTTGGGACACATAAGAAGTGTCCACATAGCGACAGACTGAAATTTTAGGGAGAACCTTCTGTGAAATATGGTGTCAATAACAAACCAGAGTCAAGCAGTTATTTTAAGGTAACTGTATCGCATTGCCTGGTTTAGTGTATATTTTCGGAGGTTATTTCAACATAGAAACAGATCAATAAAGCATAAAAATCTAATTTGAATGAATGTGTAACCGATTTTACAGGTAAATAAAGCTTGTTTTTGAAGACAGGTAATACATATGAACTTAAAAATTCATATTATTGCATTCAAAATATACAAAATGCTGGTGAAATTCGGGACGTACTTGTTTTGTTGCCTCTTTTGACAGACAATCAAGTTTCGGTCTGTTTACAGTTTTTCTCAAGTGTTTGGGCATAGCATCCATTGGTTTTGTAGAGCATCCACTATCAGAAGTGCGATATAGGGGGAAATGTTGTAAAATAACCGGACGTGAATAGACGAAAGAAGATGGATCTGAAATAAGAGGAAAGTTGGGTAAAGTGGGATGAGTATAACAATAACACTTCTGAAAAAGCTAAACATTTACACAAATAAATGATGATCACATGTTTGAAGAGAAAGAAATGGTTACACTAAGAGGTACACACACATTTTACACAAGTCAACTAGACAGATGATACTAATAACGAGTACAGTACAACTAACCTAGCATCTCAATAATCATATTATATCTTATACGTGTTATTCTAATTTCCACAATGGGAATCTTTAATATCATTTTTTGACATGTTAAAGATGCATCAAGAAAAGCTTTCTCTGTTTTACCTAATATTTATTCAGTTTGAAGAAAATATACATTATTGATTATAATAGTATGACCATACATTGATAATGAAAATGAATTCACAGTTAAAAGCATTTAATTTTGAAGAAAGACAATTGTGTATCCTATTAATCATCCGTAATCAGAGTAAAGCTGTGTAATACTTTAACAATAAGAAAATTACAAAGAACGGTTTCTAAATCCCTAATGTTTTGTGGTGGTTTATCAGTTCTTTGGCACCTAGAAATCGATTAATGACCATACGGAATGAAACGGTTAATCAAGGTGGTCACTCCACTTCGAGAACTGTCACAAACTCTAGTGACTAGCGAGATTTCAGTAAGGATAACAATACGTCGTTTGGCTTTTCGAAATGCACCAGATGTGATGCAAAGAACACGTTCGTCTATTTATTAAGCTGTCGGTACACTTAAGGTTAATATATTTTGTACTGCCTGGAAGTTTTAAAATATGGCCTATGAGACTAGAAGATATATGTAGCTTACTAACATTTGATCATAGACACCTTTGAAGTATCAGCTGTATATAGTCAAACCACCAAATGCGTAACACTGAGTTTGGACGTAGGAAAATAGGTAAAAATGGCAAATCTATTATAATTGAGAATGTAATCCTTCATTGATTGATGTGATGACATATGTTACATGTAACAATACACCGTCTATTCGTGGGCATTACTACATTGGCCAGTGTAAAAGTAATATGAATAAAGACTAACAAGTGTCAAACTGAGACTTAGTAGGAGTCCATAAAACCACCGACTGTTGAACTGAGACATGTCGACAAGAGTAGACTCATTGGTTAGTGTCTGTGAGATAAACGCAATCAATTGTTGAATAGCTCAGGTGACACGAATAGAAGTCTGTCGCAGTATTATATATATATATATATATATATATATATTATTTTACCATTTCTTTAGCCTGAATATTATTTTGGATATTTTACTCTTCGATAGTATACCTTCTTTACTAAACCATATTATCTGTTTTTAGTTTTTACTAACAATATTATGAACAGTAGTTTTACTTTTCTGATGAAAACTTTGGTAATTTACTTTCGCTATTCTTATGTGAAGTGTGGCAACTCGAACTGATGGACACATGTGCCAGGTTTTGAGTTGCGTTTGCCTGACCAACGTTTTAATACGTTCATGTTACCTATGATAATGAATATGGATAACGACTGATTAGTTTAACACTTATTTCCTTGGCCTATCCCTTTTCAAAACCAAAGTTTGCAGTGTTAAATATGTAACTACAAATGAAAATAACTAAAAAAATTTGAATGATCTACAGTTATGTTTGTCAAGAAGGCATATAGTATTTTGATGAGGTGATTTATTGAGAGATCTGGATAAAATTATTGATATGGCTTTTAAGTTGAACAAGTTCATACTAAAGTACCGGTGAACGAGTGAAATCAAAAATTATTGTATAATACCCTCTTGAAAACCTGGAAAATAAAACAAGCACTCCGCTCTCGTCAATTCCACCTGTAGCCCTTCTAGGGGAATTGCCGGTTCCAAACCCAGAAATAGAGTGGAATTAAGCATGGAGTCAGCGAACACGTCCCATAGAAAACGATCTTGTTAAAAAAAGCTGACCATAAAAAAATCACGTAAACCGTTAAAGCCCGGCCATTGGAGTTGTCGGATCTTCACTCACAAGAATAATGGTGCCTCATGGTCAAAGCCGAGATTCTTCGAAAATCACGAGGCCGATTCCCCTTCTAACAACCAGAGCAACAATCAATGTGGGTACGTGGAATGTTCGGACAATGTGGGAAACCGGGAAGATCAACCAAATAGCTACGGAAATGAGGAGATACAACTAGGCAATGCTCGGAATCAATGGAACCCATTGGACTCAAGCTGGAAAGAAAAGGATAGATTCTGGAGAGATGCTGCTGTACTCTGGTCACGAAGAACGAAATGCTCCACACACTCAGGGAGTTGTTCTGATGTTGTTCAAAGAAACACGAAATGCACTTATTGAGTGGGAATCTCATGGACCCAGGATCGTCAAGGCATCCTTCAAAACAAAAAAAACAGGGAATCATAATGAATCTTATCCAATGTTAGGCACCCACCAATGATAACAACGACGACGATAAAGATCAGTTTTACGAGAGGCTGCAATCAACCATAGCGAAGTGCTCAGGAAAGGACCTGACCATCCTGATGGAAGACCTAAATGCCAAAGTCGGAATGGACAACACCATGTATGAAGATACCATAGGACGACATGGACTGACTGGGAGAAAGAAACGAGAATGGTGAGAGATCTGCAAATCTATATGTATTCAACAAAGCGGTTATAAGAGGAACGAGATTCCCCAACAAACACATACACAAAAATACACGGGTCTCACGGGATCACACTACAGGAAACCAGACCGATCACATATGCATCACTAAAAAATTCAGAAGGACGATGGAAGACGTCAGAACCAGGAGAGGAGCTGAAATAGCCTCAGATCACCACCTGGATGTGGCCAAAATGAAACTAAAGCTAAAGAAACACTGAACAATTGGGGAAACAGCATAACAAAGGTTCAATACAGCCTTCCTGCGAGATACTAACAAACTCAACGGACTCAAGATAAATCTCAACAACAGGTTCCAAGACTTACAGGATCTACTAGAAGAAGAAGACAATACTATGGAGGACAACTGGAAAAGGATCAAAGAAGCACTAATCTCAACGTGTCAGGAGGTTTTGGGTAGCAAGAAACATCATCATGAGGAATGGATATTTATCGAAACCCTGGACAGGATTCAAGAAAGGAAGAAAAAGAAGACAGCGATTAACAACAGCCGAACACGAGCAGAGAAAGTTAAAGCACAAACTGAATACACAGAAGCCAACAAGCAAGTGATGAGGAGCATCAGGGCCGACAAGCAGAAATACGTGGAAGATCTAGTAGCGATAGTGGAAGAAGCCGCAAGAGAGGGAAATATGAAACAACTATATGACACAAAGAAGAAACTAGCATAGGGATATAGTAAACCAAAGACACCAGTCAAGGACAAAGAAAGCAAGACAATCACTGAGATTCAAGAACAGAGGGACAGATGGGTAGAATACTCCAAGGAACTCTTGAATAGGCCAGCTTCATTGAACCCGCCGTCATCGAGGCAGCACACATGGACCTTCCTATAGATGTCATCACATGAACAATCGAATAAATCAGCATGGGCATCAGACAAACGAAGAGTAGGAAAGCTGCAGGTCCTGACGACATACCACATGAAGCACTGCAGTCAGACAGAAAGATGACTCTAAAGATACTCCACGTACTATTCAGAAAGATATGGGAGGAAGAACAAATGATAACAGATCGGGAAAAGCACATCGTCAATAAATCAATAAAGGAGATCTCAGCGAGTATGAGAACTCAGCTTTGGAGGCATCACACTACTGTCGGCACCAGGAAGCGCTTTCAACAGAGTGTTGTTGAGTCGAATGAAAGATTCAGTCGACGCCTACCAGCTTCGAGACCAACATCCCGGATTCCTTAAGAATCAGTCGTGCAGACACCAAGCTACAACATTACGGATCATCGTTGAACAATCAATTGAATGGAACTCACCACTATATATCAGCTTCCATGACTACGAGAAAGCATTTGACAGCATGGATAGGAGAACCTTACGGACTCTTTTTCGACACTATGGTGTACCTGAGGAGATCGTTAACATCATCCGGAATTCATACGACGAACTTCACTGCAAAGTTGTGCATGGAGGAAAGGTGATAGATGCATTCCAATTGAGGACCAGTCAGAAAAGTATGCTTAGTCTCCGCTTTCTCTTTCTTCTGGTGGTCGACTGGATTATGAAGACCTCTATATCTGGGGTAAGCATGGAATACAATAGACAGCTTGGATGCAGCCAGACGATTTGGATTTCGCAGACGACATAGCTCTTCTATCTTATACACACGAACAAATTCAGGTGAAGACAGACAGTGTAGCAGAAGCCTCTGCATCAGTAGGCCTCAACATACACAAGGGAAAAAGCAAGATATTGAAAATCAACACAGAGAACACCAAACCAATCATACTTGATGAAGGAGCTCTGGAACAGGTGCACAGCATCATCTGTAAACAAGGAGGATCCGATGCAGATGTAAAGGTGAGGCTTGGCAAAGCGAGAGTGACATTCCTACAGTTGAAAAAGATCTGGAACTCAAAACAACAAACAAGAGGAAATTAAGAAGAGATGATGGAAGTGGATAGGACATACGTTGTGAAAATCATCAAACTGAATCACGAAACAAGTGCTAACTTGGATCCTAAAGGGAAACAGAAAAGAGGAAGACTAAAGAACACACTGCGTCGGAAGTTAGAAGCAGATATGAAAAGGATGAATAACAACTGGAAACTACCGGGAAGGATTGTCCAGGACAGAGTTCGATGAAGAATGCTGGTGGGCGACCCATGCTTCTTCACGAGGGGTAACAGGCATAGGTGAGTGCTCTGGTCAGAAAGTCGCGCAAATAATAAATATAAGTAAATCGAAGACAAAAACTGCCACTGGATTGTAAGGATCAACAGGTGATCTTATATGGTGAATATATTTTCAATCACTAAAAATTTATAGTGATTTAAGCTTAACCACAGAAAAACCAGAAGTAATGAACAATCGGAAAGCCTTGTCATAACAAACTATTGATGAGTATTTTAAATTGGTAAGTTTAGAAACAGAAGTAATGTAAAACTGCTTTTAGGTAGACTCAAAATGAACTTTATAATTGAATGATATCTTTAAAGAGGTGTACGCTTCATAATCTAAACTACTTAAATCATGAGTGATAAGTTCGTGTTAACCTACCATTAAGATCAACATCAATGTATGGGAATTTGTCAGAAAGGCCCATACCAAGTTCCTTGGAATAACAACTCTTGGTATTAGATGGAGTAGATATCTTCAAACAATCAAGATATCTCGCAATCGATTTTAATATGAAATTGGCTTCAAAGCATAAATCACAATTGTCACCTTCAAAAGCGATACTGTTTGCAATAACGAAATGGATGCCAAAGAAGGACCACAGATAAATAGGCGGTGTATAAATATTGTCTCCAACATCCCGGTGAAATCGATTATTCAAAAACTCATTAGTGCTAAATAAGAAAACGAATTTTTTTACCATCTTGATCAAATTCTACGTTGACACAGCAGCAGTAAATTTGAAATCACACAGAAATACAAATTGTGTGAGATAAGCTAGTAAAATCATAGGAAATATTTAAAGTTTAATTGGTGTTCAGATTTTCTTCAACTGAGTTACCACGTATTTTAAGACGATTAAAATTGCCTGAGGCGTCTGAAGAGGTAAGCATTCGGCATCGATTCTGAACTTATTAGTTTAAATGGACAGTACCAGCTGAAGGATCTTGACCAAGTGTTATCATCAAATTATGGCATAGTTTGACGTAAAATGCTTCTCCTACTATAAATAGCTATTTTATAAGTTTTATTTTCTCTATATATCCAATACAAGCAAATATACCTTACCTCGCAGCCATTGTCATCTTGTGCTCCCAAATGCCCTGATACGGTCGAGAATGGAGAGTCCGCTCTCTCTCTCGAAATGCTCTCAAATGGCCACGCGTATACAGCCTCTGCCAGGGAAGTCCTACTCATTGCCTTCTCGTAGCGGGGGTGTTGTTTACGAAAATGAGAGGACGAAAAGCGAATGTCTGGCGCCTTAACCGAATTCCAAACCAATGGTGCACATGGGCTCTAGTATCCTGAGGGAACAAATGGCATATGAACCAATTGTTGGTCATCGGCTACCATGGGACTGCATCTCCTAAAGTTGCTCCATTGCCATGTGGATTAGACCTTCAGCTCGAAGGCTCCGGGTGTGGCCCCCTAAGAAGGTCACCTGCTTCGGTTTGGGCACCCGGGCGGTATCACATCCCACACATAAATCAAGCGACTTGTGCAGTGCATATATATTCGGTGGCCCTTTGTACCAATATTTATGTGTTCAAATAAACAAATAAATAAAGATTATCGTCTTGTCCTTTGTTTATCTTTAGTATAAGCAAGGTAGAAGCAAATCTAGAAGTCGGTATTGTTTGATGCTGTCATATTCAAGGTATTTTCATACCAATAAAAATTAAAGGGATTGGTAGTTTGAATACAGGGTTCATTGGATTTAAAACAGTGACTACACAACTGACAAGTATTGTAACTAACCTTACGTACGATGCGATAGGAAATATTTGCAAACAAAAAAACTTTGCATAACAATTAATTAAGAAAGATGACGCACGCATAATGAAACCCAATATCATGATTGCCAACAACGGTTTTAACTAATGTTTTCGTTTTATCATGATGAAAAATATCGCGAAATCTTCCCACCAAATGGCTGAAATCATCATTTGTAGCCCATTTCCCTTCATCCAAAATATCTCCTAATATTATAACGGCATTAGGATTATGTAAATATAAGGAAGCTTGGAAAGCACGCTTCATTTGCCAATCCCTAGAATCATAAAGGCGAAATATAAACACTGAATATTGATTCAGCATCATAGAGTTTCATTAAAATATCCTATTTAATGTTATATTAATGTTTTTATGTTACAATAATAAACAGATAATTCATGTGCAGTTCTTTCATTTTTATTAGTTTGATGAGATTGTTCTGCAAAAGAATGTCGTAGATAGTCAAAAGTCTATAAATCCTGTATAGTGAACCAACAATGATGCTCAACTAACCAGAGATGTTTAGTGATTGAAGATGGATAATTCTTCATCTATTAAAAGAAGTATTTTTTTACTCTGACCCCGACGTATTAGTATATTATCTCTATAGTACTCTCAGGAAAAACTAAAAACATCTTTAGTCCCTGTGCTTTAGTATAAGTAGCGTTTCGGTAGAAATAATTATTTAACAACCAATTTGGTCATTAAATTTGGTATCGAAAACTTCAGTGACTAGGTTAGAAATTGATTTCTTAGTACAAATGTTTGAGATGGGTAGTACGATCATTTTGTAACTTAAATATGTGATTAGAAATTATTAAATAGGTAGCATCCAAGATGTTGACTGTTAATGAAGTTTGTCTGTTACTTTTTTAATCACCCATCATAAGTCACTACATTTTAGGCTTGAGATGTGAAAGAGACGTATGTTGTACTTTTGTATACTTTTCAAAGAAATATCTCAGTAGTTACGTAATAATCTGCTAGATATACCTGATGTGTGAAGACCAATTATATTATCCAATTGCTTAAACTTTGGTAAATCAAATGGTACATCGACCAGTGATTTAATAGTTGAAAGTCAAGTAAACAAACCGAAGATTGTCAGTGATTATTTTTCTTATAACAATGGGGTATGAGAATTTTAAGTGAAAACTCAAAAGTTGACGTAGTCTGAGTAACATGTTAACATTACTGATAAAATATATTTTCTTTGGACTAGATACGCTTACTAGATACGTCAGTACTCTGAATGATCTAAAAAAGGAAAATTTTACGAATAAACATGAATTTCAAAGTCCAGAATAGTTATGGATGTGCACATTTTGGTGTAAATGAGAGGAGCACATAAGACGATGTTATGTTGAGTCCAATTGTGAAATAACTTGGTCAGTGCATGGTACACATTAAGGACGTCAAGTCTTATATTACAGGTATTTGAATTTTGGGAATTACTTACAAATTACTGTCTCAACAGAAATGTACAATATTGGTTTCTAGTCACGGATGATGCAAGATGTTTACATATAAGTACCTCCACCATTCGTTATATACTTACAACCATATATGTACATAGTTTCGTATATCTTCAGTAAGTGAACATGTAGTAATTCCAGGCAGGCAGAGAACTAATGTTGTTTAATAATAACTAATAATGAATATGTTACCCTGTCATAGACAGCTCTCAAGCGGTCTACAATTTAGAAAGGCAAAACTGAACATATACATACTTAATATTTACATTCCCGACCGTTGTTGCTACCTTGACGTGGTGGTCGGGCTTGCCTATCGTGATGAAGCAACCGAGCTATACTGACTGGAACAACTGTTCCTCAAGGTCCTACCACGTCCGAAAGGTCGGTTGAAGAGCGGTAAGTCTAAAAGCAACAAACCCAAGGTCCGAAGGCGAAGTCGTACTGCTGACTGTACAGGTGTGACAGCAGTAAGGTGTTTCCTTCAGACAACCAGGATAACAGCGATGCTGCCTTCCCACAAGGAGGGGTGGGGTTAGAAAAGGTCGACCCTAAAAATGCACACCTCGCCTTATCCCACGGATATCCGTCTCTGGCGGTAAGGTCTCAACAAGTACGGAGCTAACACAAAAATTGCCCATAAAAAGGTCGTGTGAGACCAACCTCAAGCAGTTGTACCTTGGGCACTGCGGTCACGCTCCCAGGTCACTAAGACCACTTCTAATCCGATTTCCTTTTCAGGTACCTTCAGAAAAACCCTTCCATGGTGTGGGCAACCAGGAAGTGATAACCACCCTCATAGCTCTAACAGCACTCAAGACCACTGTATTTCTAATCAACCTCTCTCTACAATTCCTATTATTCCTCCTACATCGACTTCAAACTCTAAACTTCTTTTTTCGGCTTCCCCCCTCAAGTGTCACCATAGTCAACGATTCTAATGCTCAAAACACTGTCCCAGGTCTACTGAAACCTCGCTCCACACTACACATTGGAGCCTTCAATGTACGCACCCTATGTCAAATCGGTCAGCAGGCTTCCTTGGCTAGAATCCTAGAATCTCGTACCATTGATGTATGCTGTGTCTCCGAAACACGCATACAGGATCCCAGTGTGAACATTCACTTGACCTCACCTCGACAACACAGAGAGCCAACGAGATACACCCTCCGTGTATCTGGTGACCCAATGGCCAGCTCTCGTGGACTGACAGGAGTAGGGATAGCACTAAGCATGAGGGCGGAACAAGCACTGTTAGAGTGGATTCCCGTCAACAGTCGTCTATGTGCTGTTCGGCTAAACGGCTCCGTAAGAACTCGGAAGGATAGGGACACACGTCGTTGCCTTTTTGTCGTTTCTGCCTACGCTCCCACCGACTGCAGCCCAGATGAAATGAAAGATGAATTTTACAGAAAGCTATCTGAGCTTCTTCAGAAAGCTAAACGTTCAGACATAGTACTTGTAGCAGGTGACTTTAATACCCAGATAGGTAGTTTAAACCAAACAGAAAGGCATTTAGGTGAGTATTTTAGTATACCGGCACAACGAACAGATATTGGTGATCGTCTGCTGCAACTATGCTCAGACAATCGTTTATTCTTAGCAAACACAAATTTTAAGCATAAGGAGAGACATCGTCTAACATGGCGATCCCCTACACCAAACCAACGATAAACTCAAATAAACCATATTACCATCAGTCATCGTCGGAGGCTCGATAGAAGACTCGCTTGTTCTCAAATACCTGTTTGGACACCGATCATGATCTAATACGAGCCCGCATTTGCTTGCTCCTCACTCGATGCAGAAAAACCACATTAGGGTTGGACTCAGTGACGAAGTGCCAAAAGTAGATTCCATGAACAACTGAGGTCGCACTTCGATAGTTCTGAAAACGTGGCTGACCCATATATTGCTTGGAAAGATATACGAACAGCTGTTGAAACAGCAGTGACATCTATTAGTGATTTGAACCAAACGGTCACGAAAAGCCAATGGATTTCTACTAAGTCTATTGCACTGATGGATTCTCGTAAACACTCCATCAAGCTCTGGACTCGATAAAGAACGAAAACAAATCAGATATAGGTTAACCAAAAGTCTAAGGAATGACCGTGAGCAGTGGTGGGCAGCGAAAGCAAGAGATGGAAAAGGCAGCCGCTGTAGGTAACGCCAAACATTGATCCAGACTAATAAAAGAAACTGGAATTAATTAATCAAGTTTAAGTGAGGCGATCTCGGAAAAAGACGACACTCTTATCTGCTCTCAGTCCAGACGTTTAGAACGATGGGCGGAACATTTTAAGGAGCAGTTCAGCTGGCCTTCAACTACTCTACAAATACACACCATTCCCAAACAGCCTGAATGGAACATTGAAGTAGATCCCCCGATTCCAATCCGAAGTCGAGAAAGAGCAGATGGATTGGTTCCAGTGGTATTTAATTATAGTGGTCCAGTTTTAGCGATTAGGTTAACTAATATTTGAGTTAAAATCTGGGAGTTAGACGTAATCCCATCTGACTGGACGCAATCACTGATTGTCCCAATATATAAGGAGGGGTCAAAATCCCCGTGTGATAACCATAGAGGGATTGGTTTGACTAAAATAGCATCTAAAATACCAGGCTCAATAATTATTGGGCACCTAACAAAGACTCGTGTACTGCAAACACGAAAAAATCAGGTAGGCTTCAGACCTGGTTGTGGCTGCATCGACCACATATTCACCATTCGTCAGGTTTTAGAACACAAGCATGCTTATCGACGTCCGACAACGATGGTTTTTCTTGAATTAAAAACAGCATTTGACTCTGTAGACTGAGAGTTTCTGTGATACCCTGTCATTGAAAGGGGTACCTCAGAAGTACATAAACCTTGTAAAGGCTCTTTACTCGAACACTACCAGTCGAGTCAGAGCTTATGGCGAACTGTCATCTGCTTTTGCAACCTCAAGTGGTGTCCGTGAAGACTCAAATTTCTCCATTTTTTTAACTTCATCATAGACATATTGATGGAAATGACATTCTCGTCGACTGAATTCTCGGGTATTGATCTCCTACCAGGAGGTCCACTTATCGACTTAGAATACGCAGATGATATAGTCCTGTTTGGTGAAGACGCTGACAAAATGCAGAGTCTTCTGGTAGCACTAAGCAACAATGCCATAATGTTTGGAATGCGCTTCTCTCCCTCTAAATGCAAGTTGTTGCTTCAGGACTGGTCTGCGTCAACACCTGAACTAAGGATAGGGAGTGAAGTAGTCAAACGCGTTGACAACTTCACTTATCTTGGAAGTCTGATCAGCCCTAATGGGTTGGTGTCTGACGAAATCTCAGCACGGATTCGAAGAGCTCGCTTGGCTTTTGCCAACTTATGTCACCTATGACGAAGGCGAGGTATCCGTCTATCAATAAAAGGACGAGTATACTGCGCGGCAGTTCGTTTTGTTTTACTTTATGGCAACGAAACATGGCCTTTAAGAGTAGAAGACACCCGTAAGCTACTAATATTTGACCACAGATGCCTTAGAAATATTGCTGGCGTCTGTTGGGATCACCGGGTAAGTAATAGTGGGGTTGAACGCAGGGTATTAGGTAATGATGGTAAATCAGTTGATGAGGTTGTGGATCTCCATCGACTGAGATGGTTGGGCCACGTGCTACGTATGACTGAACACCGATTACCACGTCGTGCAATGCTAACGGGTGTTAGAGATGGTTGGAAGAGAATTAGGGGTGGCCAAACCAAAACGGGGCATCAGTGCTAGGAGACACTAACCTCTATTCTGAGCCATGTTGGTAGATG